GCTTTTTTTGCGGACCAGCACCTTTCCATTTGCCGGGTCACTGAAACCGACACCTACAACTGAAATGCCACATAGTTCCACAATTAACTTCGCGAACTTCGAGGGTCAGTATGTTGCTGGATCAGATACTCACAACTGACATACCACATAGTTGCACAATTTACTTCCGAACTCCGAGGGCCAGTATTTCACAGGGTTAGCTACACTTATTTCCTTGCGATCTTGCTACGGCACGAGAAGTGCAAAAACGCATAATCGCACCGGCCCGCCTGGCGCGTTCCAGCCTGGGTTTTGAGACGGAATTACGGAGATAAAGGGGAAGGCTGGCGGAAGCATGAGAGGACAACTCAGAAGTAGAGGCTGAAAAAACGAATCTAGCTTTCTCTTTCAGAAAAAAATTTCCAGTAGCTACTGGTGAATAGTAGTTTAGAGTGCGAAGATATCGGACAGAATGACTTTCATAGCAACATGCAGTATTTTGGTCATGTTGAAGCACCAAGCAAGCTTGTCTTTATTGCAAAAAATCAGCGGAGATGTGTTGCAGTAAATGACGGAGATATTAGACGTGAAAAAGCAACAAAGCTTACTCCAGCGCTTCATTTCGTTAAAAACCTCGTATAAACCCGCCTGCACCTGCTTCTTGATCACTTTTGACAGGTGTGCTTGATGCAGCCAGCTGCGAACGATACGAATTACCTCATTTAACGTTCGCCAATGAGCATTTGTCTGAAAATGCATGAAGTATAATCTACTGCTTATGGCGTGATGGTAGCTGCCAGTCCACCTATTCAGCACTGTTGCGAATTGAAACAATGGGTCTGAATAAACAGTCTTTAGTACTACTGTTTTTACGCATTTGCAAAAAACACTCATAATTCTTTTCAGAGGCAGGCCACCTACTACAATACAGAAGTTATTCAGGGACGCGCTATCAATGAAGCCTGCCACCTTATTTCGTCAGGAGTGGGAGACAGGACGGAGGGAGTTTTGGACTGAATTCAGCAAGATGTAAGAAACAATGAGCAAGATGTAAGAAACAATGAGCAAGATGTAAGAAAAAATGAGAAGTGGATATAAAAATACTTTACCCGAAAAAGAGTCAGAGCGACATAGCGTGTACAGATAAATTTAAGTTGTGGTACGTCGCTGCTGCAACAGGCAGCAGCACTCCACTTATCATAATTCATGTCTGATAGCGTGTCACAGGATTGTTCTCGAAAACAGGGAATTGTCGCTGGAGGTACCGCAGGTGGTATCACTCAGGGAACTGAAAAAGGTATAAGGCAGATGACCAGATCGCGAGAGAGGACGGTGCTGCTTGATAACAAGCACTTGTTAGAACTCCTATCGATGAGACTGCGTCTGGTTGCTAGGAACAGATGATCTGGTTTGTAGCTGTCAGCTGCTGATGCCGCTACTGCTGCTAATTCTACCGTTGCCGCTACTGTTAGTGCTGTTGCTGCTGCTGTTGCTGCTGCTGCCGCTGCTGCTAGCGCTGCTACTGCTGTTACTGCTGCTTGCATCTAACATAATATTTGGCATTTGTGTAATTCACGAAAAGATTTTTTACAAGATACACCAAATGTTTTTTACGAGTCGGCTATCCCAGTTCTGTGCGTCTAGCTGGCAGGTGGTGAATCAGTTGTAAGGCCGTTGCATTGAACCGCTACGAAAATGGATAAATAAGGCAGGTGATACAAGTAAAAATTAAAAATAAACATAAGAAAAATTTAAGTTAAACAAAAAGGGGTAATAAAAACACTATGACAGATAGATCGGCACTCATCCAGCTTATTTAATTTTTGCCCCATGAATTTCTTCGTCCCCTTTACAGCACACTTCCTTCTATTTCGAACTGCTACAAGTCGTTACTTCCCCAACATGTATTTTAGCCACATTAAAAAAAACAAATGATCGTACCGGTGCGGTCATGCTTTTTTGCATCAAATTTAAAGTAATCAGGTCGTTAACTAAATGAGTGGTTGGTGCTTTATATCTACCTTGTACGCTCATCCGTAAGCCATCATCAATTTTGCACAAACAACTCAGACTGGAACGCACCAGGCATGCTGGTACGATCATGCGATTTTGCACTAAAACCCGCAGGTTGCTAATAGCAAGAAAGATCCCTGCGCTGTAACCTAACAGTTGGGCCCATATTGGCTGTGCTTTGGTCCCTCCCGGCATGCAGAAAAAGGGCGTCAGTTGGAATGAAGGTGATACATTATAGTGCTGCATGGACCTCCAGGTACATGATTACCAGTTTTTTGCATGGAGCCCGATCGTCTTTATGCGTTTTTGCCGTGCAACGCTAGAGCACTGCAACAGGCAGCAAAAACGCACATTGCAACGACCTTGCCAG